TGTTAGTTGTTGTGTGTTTTGCTGCCAGGGATTTTACAAAAATATTGTAAGAATACTTCGAAAACTTATTTTCGTTCATCACCGCGTTTATTTTGAACGGTATGTTCGGACTTTCGAAATTATTTGGGCTGTTGCGCAAACACAGTGGAAGGCTGCGTACTAGTGTCTCATAACACAGGAATGTCATCTGGATGCCATAATTATTTTCGATTTCCTCTTTTTTGTATACATTTCCTGTCTTTTTATCGAACAAATCGCCAATAAACCTGAGACCTTTTCTATCCCATTCTTTGACAACAGTCTTCGAAAATTTCGTATGATCAGAGCACCAAATTGTCTCCGATAAAATTTCCTCACTACTGTGTTTACAGTCTACAGAAAATCTCATGAGTGCATCAATAAGGTCCCTATAGAAGCCATTAGTCACTTTGGATTTGACTAGAGCAAGCTTCGCTTTACCATAAGTAAGAAGCTTTCTAACATCAGGTAATTCTTTGTACGCTAACTGTGTCCAGTCAGCTTCAGATGTCATCAGGCGTTTCAGCCATGTTAGTTTCATCGAATCAATGAAGGCTTTCACGTCTACCATTTTTAATCCGTCCTGTTCGTACGTTTGTACCAATTTAGTGCGTTTGATTTTATCACCTTTGTTTTGCCATATAAAGTTAAATAATAAACTCTCAATTAGTTTTATTTCTTCTTTATCAGGGTTTGGCAATGTAATGAACAGGTGAACAATCTTTGAGAGTAGTAAAGTTTTAATGATGCATATTTTTCCCACGGGAGTCAGATTTCGTCTTTTCCATTGTGCAATATCTCGACGAATGCTATCAATTTTTTCTCTCAAATTTCGTCTAGTGGTTTCGTTAGTATTAGCGCTGAGGTAAATTCCCAGAATTTTAAGTTCGTCGACTACTTTGACTCTTACATCGAAAGGTATTTGATTTCCTCCAAGAGAGCCTATTGGTAAGCATGACGTCTTATCTACGTTCACCTTCAGCCCGGATAGCTCGGCAAATGTAGTAAGGTCGTCTAGTGCTCCTGCTACCGAAGCGTTTGAGCCGTCTAATAACAAAATAGTGTCATCTGCATATTGTGAAATACGTATCTGTTTAGTTGGCGATATATTGATTCCTTGAATTTTCTGGGATTTGTTTATTAGACCTGTCAAAACTTCTACCGCTATATTAAACAAATACCCCGAAGATGGATCGCCTTGTCTAATTCCTTGCTCTATTGCCATCTTGGACCCTAAGTGTCCGTTTATCATCATTCGTGAGTAATTTTTCGGATTCAAATACATTAAGTCTATCATTTTTAAGAACTGATCACCAAAATTCATGTTCCTTAGTACAGATCTTAGATAATTCCATGATACTGATTCGAAAGCCGATTCGAAATCAGCAGCTAAAACTATTGCCTTCATCTTTTTCTCTTTTACATATTCTATTGTGTCGAATAATAAACGAGTATTTTCACCTAAAAACCTTCCAGAAATATATGCCGTTTGGGAGGGGCTAATTATCTGGTTGATTACACTTCTGAATCTATTTGCTATTGCGGAGGACACTATTTTATAGTCAACATTCAATAACGTTATAGGCCGCCATCCTTTTAGTGAGTGCGGGGATTTACCTTGTTTGGGTATCATTTTAACGATGCCTTCCCGGTGTGATGGGAAATTTTGATTTTGTTTGAGCGATGCAACAAAGGCTCTGTGTAAGAACGGTCCAATTTCATTCCAAAAAGTTCTGAAGAATTCAGCTGGGAAACCATTTGCTCCTGGGGTTTTTCCTTTCTTCATTCTTTGTAAAGCTAATGTTAATTCATCCATGGTAAGGTCAGAATTTAATCTCTCTATGTCGGCTTGCATTAATTTTTTCGTTATATTAGCTTTAATCATACTCTTATTTATTGTATTCGTGTTACTGTCCCTATATTTTGCTTGTAAGTTCTTGGTGAATTCAGTCATAATAGTTTTTGTTTGGGTAATTATACGATCTCCCTCTTTGATGTATTGTATACATTTGGATTGTCCATTTCTCTTCTCAAGAGACAGAAAGTATTTTGAGCTTCTTTCGCCTTCTTCGTGCCATGCGACACGGGATCGAATAATAAGTCCTTCTATTATAGGTTTCCTCAATTCCTCTAATTCACTTTTCGCGAGTTCTAAATTCTCTAAGTCTTGTTCAAGTCCGGATTCATTAAATTTTTCATGTGCGGTAATAATTTTTTGTTTTAGATGTTCTTCTTCTGATCTTATGCGCTTAGCATGTTGTTTGGAAAATTTCAGACTTTCTCCTCGCAACATCATCAAGAGTGTTTCGTAAAATAAGCATTCCCCAATGGTAAGCTGAATGTATGGGTAACTATGATGGTCGCTATAAACGTGTTCCTGATACACAGGAGCTGCATATTGTTTCAAGATTTCTACGATACATGTTTTCATTTTTTGAATATACGTTTCGCTCGTCAAGTGTGATGTATTCAACATCCATAAACCATTGCCTTTTGCTTCATTCTGTACGTTAATTGTGATTGTTATTGCATTGTGGTCCGTCTTATACCCAGGTAGGATCTTTGCATCTGTAATCACATTTGCTGTGTGACTTGTGACGAAGAACATGTCTAGACGCCCGCTCTGGAAGGGGTTTTTACGTGTCCATGTGTACATTCGTTTGTTCGGATTAAGCTGTCTCCATATATCTATCATGTTAAAATTATTTGCAAGTTGTATGAAGTTTTTTCTTGCATTTACATTATTTTCTGTCTTATAATTTAGACAGTCTTTTTCCGGGTCGACTACAAAATTCATATCACCGGCGAGGATGATGTGATCTACTTCAATGTTTTCTAAATGTTCGAATACTTCGGTGAAGAATGTTGGGTTATCTCTATTTGGACCATACAAACAAATGAACGCGAATACGTAAGTTTGTATTTTACAAATGACTATGACATAATTTCCACACTTTGAATGTATGTTTTTTATCATGCTGTACGACGTACTTCTGTCAATCAATATGCAGGTGCCTCTGCTGCGTGCAGACAAACATGAATGATAGGCGGTTCCGCTCCATAGGCTATTGAAAAATGGCAGCGTTTGTTCTATCATATGCGTATCCTGCAGAAACACGATGTTAAATTTGTAATTCCGGATGTAGTGAAGTACATCACGCCTTTTGGCCTGTTGACTCAAACCGCGACAGTTCATTGAAAATATAGTTAACTTACTGATGCCTTGGTTTCTGATTTTTCAACCTTCTTTAAGTTGACCTGGATACATTCACTTTTCAACTCCTCAAACCACACGCTCGTTTTTAAACATACGCAATTGTGACTGGCCCTTATTTACGGAGTTAGACAGGGGGCGAAATACGCCCCCCCCCCCCGGCTGCGGTGGTTGGGATTACCCCCGGGCCCGACCGGGTTAATCAACGGTAAATTGCACCTGAAAACCTATGAACACACCCGAGTACCGGGAGCCGAATATAAAAATCAAGCAACGAACTTAGGAACATACACAGCGCTACTTCAATGCTATCCCAACGTCAACTTCAATTCCAATCCACATATCCTGGGATGTGTCCGACGTGTCCCAAAAAAAATAAGAAATCATCACAACAAAAACGCTTATAGTGGACTGATGTGATCCTTTTTTCATACACTTCATATATGTAATCAAGAAATACGAATTATTATCATTTATTTTCTTTTAAGAAGAGGGTAAAAACACAAATCACGATATTCAAAAAGCGTAATTTCTTGCTTAGGAAACGCCCAAGAAACGTTAGGTTTTTTAGTACCAGGGCATCTCTATATTATAAGATCTCTATGAACGCAACAATCATCAGATGACCTTTCCGGCAAGACCGTCGCATGTTTCGCCCGGTCTTCTGCGCTTTTATTCCCGTCGATCTCGCAGCGGGCACGCCCCCCTCTGCAGGATTACGTAATTCACAACGCTCAGCGATGTTCAACAAGGTCTTCCATACCTATATCCACCGTCCGCGCCGAGGGTGGAGACATGTCAAGCACCTGTCCGTTTATCACCGATAGTTGACGAGCACAAGGAAGTATCCAAAAATGGGAACGCTGAATATGTTACACCCTCAAAACACCTAGTCCCAATGAAAATCTAGTTTTTTCCTTTCTTGATGAGTGTAAGTGGCAAAAGGCCTGGTAGGATGGGCACGAGGAATGATCGAAATCAGCATAAAAATTATAAATAAGCCACACAGAGCGACCTATATAAGAGAAATTCCTCCAAAACGATCACGCTTAGAAACACGGAAGACAAAAACCACGCTCATGACGCTCCTTATAAAACAGCTCTAAACAGCTAGCATCCAAATAAAATATGTCTTTCTGGGATGATAAAATACAGCTGAATAATTTTAAACCACTGAAACTGAGTTTACAACAGAAGTTCGGTAAAATCACTGACGTTCCATGCGGTCGTGCGCCCCGACACCAAATGTCACCAATATTACCCCCGGACTGTTCGCGTGTTCGCTTGCATATGTCAGCATCTGGTGTCGCTAGTATGAAACTTCATAACCAGGCGAAAATTATTATACTTGACCTCAAAATGTAAAAAACGCTTCATTTTCCTTAAAATTGCAAGTTAAATGTAGTATAACCCATGTTTTCACCATTCCATCATTTCAAAAAATCATTAAAAATATCATTCGACGGTCAATTTCCTTGTGCAACGGTCAGATTAAAGATAATTTTATAGAGACTTAGTAGATACTTAAATAAGCGTGCACTTTTTTGAGACGTGATGCACTAATGAATTTTAGTGGGCGAACGGCCGAAAAATTACCTTCCGTTCCCAAAAATGGGAACGTTCCTATATTTGGGTACTCATGACCATAGTTCCGCCTACTGCTATGGATAATTATTCTGCTCTTATGTTCAGTATGTTGATATCAGAAACTCACCAAGGTAACCTGCCCTGTGGCATTTCTTAGTTCAAAAATGTAAGCATTACACTCATCAGTCATGTAACTTGTATTTACATCCATGAACAAACAATGTGCAAAGGGGCTACCCAACAAGCATTACTGTCTACAGCGTAGCGCGTACCGCCTCCGCAAGGGGCGCGCCCCTCTACAATGGGCATGCGCGAACCCCTTCTCTGCAATGGGCGCGCCGGCGAACGTACGCGAGCGATCACGGGTCGCCACCACCAGCTGGCGACTGACGGCGCAAGGCCATAAAACTACGACGGCGGGCCCGGCAGCAGCGCGCGGTGTGTGTGTGGGGGGGGGGGGGGGCGTTGGACACGGGATGGACGCACAGTCGCGCACCACGACCGACGGCGACATCACCTGCTGCGTCTGGCTCGGCGAGCGCAGCTGGGAGCCGGCTGGAACAGACAGAGCGGGGTCAGCCGGCGGAGAGACCCGGGGGACGGGAGAGAGACACGGGCCAACAAACTGGGAGAGATTCGAACGCCCGCACGACAGCAAGGAGCAAACATGCCCGTTATATTCACGTGTCGATTGTCATGACGTCAGTCTTGAGCACAAGCTGACTTCATCCCTACATCCCGTTTTACTTATAATCATAATTGAGGTCCTGGATCGGTACACCGGCTCAGTCACCTGTTGACGGCGGCGCACAGCGTGACCTACCCGCCCTACAGCCGGCCCCAGCAGGGTGAGTAGTGAGTACCAATACCCGCCCCCATGCCAATGCCAAAATCACTAGCACTGAGAGTTTTATGGAAAAGCCCTCCTCAGTGGCCGGTATGAGCTGGCCGTGCGGCGGCCGCGACTGACCTGCGGCCGCTGAAGGTCTGGTGAGTCGGACGGGCACCTCCGGCACTGTCGGCAGGGCGGCCGATTTGAGCGCAGCGCTGTCCAGTCGGACTGACGGCAGCACAGAGACCAGCTGTTCGTGCAGGCAGTACCGGTGGCCCGAGTCGCTGCTGCTGCGGACCCGGCCCGGTACCGGCGCCGGGTGGTGGCCGGCCGCGGCCGGGAGCGGGTCCGCCGTCCGCTCCGCGTCCCCGGCCGCCCCGCCGCCGCTCTCTGGACCGGCCGGAACGGTGACGGTGACCGCGCTGATCTGAAGGCGCACCTCCAGACGCTCCAGGGCCGGCAGCCAGGCCAAAGTCGGAGCGGCGGGCGGCGCCGGCGGAGTGGGGGAGACGGCCGCCGCAGCGGAGGTGTTGGGTGACACTGCGGGTAGGTTCCTCTCCGTGGTGTGGCTCCGTGCCGATCGCGAGGTACCCGAGTGTCCTTGCGGCCGGGGCACATCCATGGCGGCGGCGGCGGCGGCTCGGGCGGCTGGGGTAGTGGCGGCGGCGCCGGGCCACTCAGCTGCTGGCCAGCTGAGTGGCCAGGGACAGCCAGAGCAGCAGTTCCGGCTGCCAGCAGAGCAGGGCCGGCTCGGAGACGACCACCAGCAGCGGGCAGCTGTCCGCGGCGGCGGCAGCTGTCGGCAGCTGCAGCAGCGCCCGTACCGCCCGCTCGCCGCCGCCGCCGGGAGCCGGCGCGTCGGCCGCCTGGGGCGCGGCCAGCACGGGCCGGCCGTCCAGCTGACAGCGCACCGGGCGGCGCCGGCCCAGCACCAGCCGGTCTGACACAGCCGCACGTCCAGGTCGCACAGGTCCGTCTCTAGTGGCAGGTCCAGCTGCGAGCCGGCCGGCTCAGCGCCGGCGGTCCCCCGGTCGTCGGCGCAGTGCAGCCAGTCGGCGTGGCACACCTGCTCTGTGAGCGGGTGCTGGGAGCCGGCCCACAGGGCCGGCGCCAGCAGCGCCTTCCAGTAGACCGAGGCTGAGGAGAGAGAGGCGACCTGGTGCTCCTGGGCGGGCTGGCCGTCGGCCGCGGTCGAGACCAGCACCGCCTGGTCAGCCGTCACCTGCGATAGGGCGCACGGGGAAAAGGGATACAGTCAGGAGCCGCGGCTGTAGTTATTCATTTCCAATCGACAATAGGGCATTGGGGCAGTGTTCCCGCCACTTCTAATGAGTAGTAATGTCGAGCCTACCACAGTGTACTTCACAACTAGAAAACGCACTCAACAATAATCACACAACAAAGGCACACTCTCAGGGCCATTCTAACAAAACACCCGCGGTTATAATTAGCATTACTCGGTATAATGACTGACCGTGCATCGTGTGTGGACGTGGCAGTTGTAGAGCAGCGCAGCGGTCGGCCGGCGCCGCTCAAGCTGGGAGACACACCGGCACAGCCGGGACGGGTACATGGGCTGCTGCTCGTTCCACTGGATCGTCTGACAGCGCAGCTGGAGACGCACCTCACCGGCCTGAGGACGGGGGAAGACTGGGTGATACAACCGGGACAGACAAATAACACAGCTGCTGTAGACGTATATACCTCCCCGGCCTGGTGACCGCGGGCGGGTAATACGACCTCATAGAACAGCGATCAGCCGGATCATCGGAGCAAAAAAAAAGCACGCATCTCAGGAGCCCATCTCCTTGCAAGTCTGCGATCATATCTCAACGCCCAACTGCAGCAGCTCTTCAAACAATGCAGCTGATGCTGTCCTTTCGAACATCCCCGCTATGCATGGACCCACGCCGCCCAGCTCCCCGTTGGCGGCCACCACTGTCAGCCGCCGCCCCTTCCTCCGCTGCGCGGAGACCCACCTTTTCCAAGTCTCCATGGCCAGCCAACACGGTGACTCGCGGCTCCAGCACCGTCAGCTACAGGTCGCGAGCCGGGGTGTTGGCCTCCAGCGCCACCGCCTCTCCGTGCGGCACTGGGCCCGGGCGGGCCTCTCCGTCCGCTGCGGGAGAGGGCAGAGGGTAGAGGAGAAGGTCAGGGCGGGCCTCCCCGCCTGCAGCAGAACAGGGGGAAGGAGCGGTCAGGTGGGTCTCCCCGTCCGCTGCAGGAGAGGGCAGAGGGGCGTTAGTGGTAGTGGGCAGATGAAACGGAATGTTTATTTCAAAGATATACACTTTTTCACTAGTACGGCAACTATACTTCTCAGAGGTGAAAATCGCTGCTGGGACGCACTGCCGAAAAAGAAGGAACTTGCAAGTCACAAGCAGCGATGGGAACGACTCATGAAGAACAGTGCATCATGTTAAACAACTTCAAGCTAACTCTGAGCGCTACTCAGTACTCAGTTCACTACTCACCCTGCTGGGCCGGCTGTAGGGCGGGTAGGTCACGCTGTGCGCCGCCGTCATCAGGTGACTGAGCCGGCGTACCGATCCAGGACCAGGAGCCCAAGCAGGCCCTTGTCCAGTTTCTGCAGCAGCAGCGTGTGCCGTCACCGGCAGAGCTGTCGCTGCCAGACGACTGCCGTCAGCGCCCGGCGCACGCGCTATAAACACTGCGCCGCGGCGAGCGAGCACGGTGCGCTGCATCAGCTGGTAGCTGCTGAGCGCCGCCAACCCCAGCACAGCAACTGGCAGAGCGCCGCGCTACACGACCTGTCGGGGCGCGCGGGCGGGTCAGAGGGTGGGGGAGGGGGGGCCAACAGGGTCAATCACATCACCTCTCTCTGCAATGGGCGCGCGCGTGCGCACCGGCGATGGGCGCGCGCCGGCCGCCGCTGCCGATGGACGCGCGCCCACCGCCGGTGCCCGATGGGCACGCGCTGGCCGCCGGTGCCGATGTGCGCGCGCCCGCCGCCGGTGCCGATGGGATGGGCACGCACCGGCCGCCGGTGCCGATGGGCGCGCGCCCGCCGCCGGTGCCGATGGGATGGACGCACGCTCGCCGCCGGTGCCGATGGGATGGTCGCGCGCCTGCCGCCGGTGCCGATGGGCGCGCGCCGGCGCCGGTGCCGATGGGATGGTCGCGCGCCGGCCGCCGGTGCCGATGGGCGCGCGCCCGCCGCCGGTGCTGATGGGATGGGCGCGCTGGCCGCCGGTGCCGATGGACGCGCGCCCGCCGACGGTGCCCGATGGGCGCGCGCTGGCCGCCGGTGCCGATGGGATGGGCGCGCGCTCGCCGCCGGTGCCGATGGGATGGTCGCGCGCCGGCCGCCGGTGCCGATGGGCGCGCGCCCGCCGCCGGTGCTGATGGGATGGGCGCGCTGGCCGCCGGTGCCGATGGACGCGCGCCCGCCGACGGTGCCCGATGGGCGCGCGCTCGCCGCCGGTGCCGATGGGATGGTCGCGCGCCGGCCGCCGGTGCCGATGGGATGGGCGCGCACCGGCCGCCGGTGCCGATGGGCGCGCGCCCGCCGCCGGTGCCGATGGGATGGTCGCGCGCCGGCCGCCGGTGCCGATGGGCGCGCGCCGGCCGCCTATCAAGTTTACCTGTCCAGATGTACAGAAAGAATGTTTAGTCTGTCAAATACATGTACAGCTGGTATACCTACCCTGTAGCTGCAACTGTTTTGACCATGTGGCCCAGCAAAGTTATCTGGCCTAGGTAATGATTGTGATTCAGGGATGAATCCCTGGGAAGAAAATATAGATGATGGTGCTTCAGGAGACTGGAGATTGTCGTGAAGAAGCATTCCTTAATTAGTGTTAGTCACCATCCAAGCCATATGACCAAAACACACCACATCAATATTATCCCAAAATTATATTTAAAAACTTTATGGTTGGTTACACACAAGTTTTTTAGGTGACCACACTCAAACACGAGACTACTAGGGTGCCAACGTCACTTGTCAGGCTCAATGCACCAGCTGCTGTTCATACAATTTGCAAGACTCAACATCAGCTATCAGGTTCTACATCACATCAAGTGTTCAATGTAACAATGTTCGTGCCACTTTTACAAGTTGTGCTAAAAACCAGTTCAATTACAAAGGAAATGCCAAACCCACCTTCCACGACTGCTATTGACGGTACGGCATGTGGTGACGTTCTAGCCCGTTCTCCAAGCAAAAGATCTTGAGGGTTGAAGTGGCAGCTACACACAAGTGCTTCGTCAACCTGCTTGTCCGCCAAGCCATCTTCTAGGACAGCCACCCAACCAAGTCTCCTAAAAACAGCATGACTTTGTGATCAAAGGTCTGGGAAAATTGCAAGGCTTGCCATTCCAGTACAAGTAACAGATAACAAGTAACCACAGATAGTACATTGAGTACTTTAGTTATATGTGTAGATGAACTCCGAGTTGTAGGTTGTAGGTTGTAAGCTGAAGCATGTAGGTTGTAGGTTCGTGGGAGGCTGTAGTTTAGTAGGTTATTAGGTAATAGGTAATATTAGGACTTAGGTCAAGTTCGCTTGTTTTTTTTTCCTCGGACCACTCAGACTTCATCCACACAATTTACTCGTACGCCTTACTGTTTGATGTATGAGTAACACTTCAAACATTTGTGTGTTCAAACACTTCAAACACTTCAAACATTTGATCATTACATTTGTGCATGTTTGACATAAAAACATATATTAATACAATTTCGTAAAATATGCAACTGTTTTTCACTTAGTGCCTGCCCCGCAATCTCCAGCATTTCAAATTGGACTTACTTGACACGTTTTTCGGAACATGGAAGAAGTTGAGATCCGAGTTGAGATCCAAATGACAATCAGCCTTTGTTTTTCCACAACCCTTCACACTACACCGCCGATTTCGCACTTGGCGGGATGGCGCCATTCCGTCCAACTCATACAGCCTCAGAAATTACAACAACACACTCAACTAACGGAATATCCGTCAAACAAATCTTATTTACGACGACACGAGCCAATGCTAACAACCAAGGCTCTATAGAAAGGTAGGCTCAAGGGTAGGCTGCTCCGGCCGCGAGAAGTGGCAACATGTATCAGCGCCATCTATGGGCGGGATGCGTAGACCACACTAGCGTCATCTATGGGCAGCGGGAGAACTACTGATTCGTGACGTCACAGATCACTCTGCGCCCGTCGGCTGCAATGCAACTAACGCTAAAATGCGTTTACTCCCGGTCATTCAGCTCAGCTAGCAGCTCACATTTTCACCAGACAGATCAGTGAGGAAAAATGAACCGTTAGAATTAACATAACAATCGGTACAGGTAAACGTTCCGCCTTACCTACCTCTTAGATATAGGTAAGTTTCCACCCATCTACCGGACACAATGGGTCTGTTCCAGTCTCACTTCCTAACGCATCTAAACTCCTCCAAGATTGCTTCCCTGTTCAAGTGGCAGCTCTAGCCCCTACAAAGTCAAGGAGGGCCCTGCTCCAAGCTCCTCTATCTTGCTCTTGGAGTAGGTAATGCATTCGCCATAGCCCATCCGTGGCTGTTTCTCTTTCGCTATTTCAAAAGTTTATCGCAACTGGACCGTTTCTGATTCTAGATAGCATCGTAATTCACTAATGCGTACTGAATCGTGAAATGATAAATTTCATATTGTGTAATGTATACCTAATACCTATATAAAGCACTTGTAATATATAAAGCGCCTGAAACAGCGGTACAGACTACAGTACAGATGCAGGGCCGTTGCCTGGCCGTGCCAGCCAACATTTTTGTTTTGTTTTTTTGTTTTTATGTGCGCAGCGCTTGTATACAAACACCTTAAGAAACAGTGCTACTTAAAATACCTATCGTTAACTAGCCATATTTCTTAAACCAAACCTCGCCGGACCTATTGGTTTTCTTCATATACGCCCCGGCCGAGAGGGGAGGGGTTAGTTGTAAGTTGATAAGACTCGCCGTTTCGCCCCTGGTTGAGCTAGATTTTCGCGGAAAAGACAAACGTATGCGCCGTTACGAGACGCACTACGCAGCGATTAGTAGCTGATTTCAAGGCCTCAGGTTAACCGGTCACATCTGAGGTCCGGTCAAGTGGCCCAAGCTAAGTGTCAGTTTTTGGCAAACAACTTCGTCAGAAATGTTCACAGAGCCGCGATTTTGACAGCATCTTGTTTGCCTGGCTCAGGCACGTCGAATGGTATACATTTTGTTCGGTCGAGCTCAACCTAAAATGTTGACTTCGGGTGAAGGTCAGGTCAGAGCCCTTCAGGTCACCAAGTTGGTCGAAGGAGGTCATATCGCATATCATTCGATTCGACAGGTGTTCCCGAGTCCATTGGTGGGTTTCCGTACTCCGCTACGCTAGCTCAATTTGATCAAGAGCTATTGACGAAAAACTTATGACCTTATCGACGTCATAAATGACGTCACACAAGGTCAGCAATACAAAAGTGAAGCATCGGATCGTGTGCATGAAGTCACGATTCTGTGTGCTTGACATAGTTCTGGATCATTGCCGGCGCCATCCGGCGATGATCCATATTTACATATCGTATCCATATTTTCCCATCGACTTATAATGGCGAGGTCACGTCATGGTGAGGACTTGACCTCAGGTGACCCTTAGGAAAAATCCAAGACATACAAGCTGTAAGACCTCTCATGGATACTAGGTCCTGTAAGTTCATCTCCCTGTGAAAGCTCCTCGGCTCTTGTGCACTGTGAGAGCGCTGCGAAGTCACGACATTGTGGGGCCGTGCAGAGGTTCACTTATGACGTCATAGACCCGAAACTGACTTGACCCGAAAATGCAGTTGGTGTCAAAAGATCCGGCTTGAAGGAAAGACCAGGTAGGCCAAGTTTTGCCTCTCTATCGCCGGCGTGTTCCAAACTATCGCGAAAAACCCATGGGAGTGGGGGCGGCACCCGTCTCCCCCTTCGGCCGGTGAGGGTTAGATGGACGACATTGAAAACACATAAATTAAGGCAATAACATAAAAATCAAACACATAGGCAAGAAGTTGCTTGTGTCTTCCGGACGAACATCAGTTTGATCATTGATGTATGAGGCTTGTTTTCTATTCGTGGTAACTGCGATTCGGTACCTTATTCGTTCGGCACTGGTGTTAGCTCGACGTTCAAGACGCTCTAAATCGGACAAATGCGTTAACGAATGGAAAGTTGATGTCTAGCAGCCACGAGAACGACCTCAATTGTACCAAAATAAAGAAGAAGACCTTACGTGACACTCAAAGTAGGAAAAAACAGGTGCACAATATTCCCCTCCATTGACTATAACACTATCGGCCTTCGGGCAGAGTGATCTGTGACGTCACCATATTAGCTCCGCCCTATTTACAGCCGTCAGCCAATCAGCGCGCCGGCCGCTGTCCAACGGCCTTGAGCCAGCCTATTGCCAGTTTTTGATAGCGGAAAAGCACGGGAGCAGACCCCCCTGCTAACAACGCTTGCCAGTTGCGGAGTGGAGACGTCAGAGAGAAAAAAGTCTTTAGATTTCTCCAATTTCCCCACGTAACGTTGAACGGCCATTGCGGCCTTATCTGGTATGCGACGGCCTTATCTGGCATACAAAATATCTCTAGAAGTCTCTAGCTAGTGTTAAGCCTATGGACTTATAGGGAAATGTATCCGAGTACTTGGTACTGCCTCCTCCAGGTACTGGCTGGCAGACGGATCAACTTTGGAGGCCCACCATTTGGAAATTAGGCAATTTTGAGACGAATGACTTCGGATCGGGGCCTCAGCCACCTTCATCTACACGTTTCACTGAGTAACTCCGAAATTTCGGAAAAAACCCTGATAATACCTTTTTAACGAACCTGGGTCAAAAAAAAACTTTTCATACCTTAATTGAGAAACGCCATCTCTATCATGATAGACAGCTAGGAAGTTTTGCTGAGAACCTCTTACGTCAGATTGCATTATGTTTTCTATTATATTATAAGGATATTTGAGTACAAATACTGCGCGCTTTTTTCAATATCGATTATGTTCTGCTTCCTCAAAAACACCTAAAGCTGTGGGTATCTCATACTTAAATCCAATCAAATAGCAGAACGGGCACAGAAGGCTTCCGCTCGCAGGCATAAACGTAACAAATAAAACAAGCTTTTCGGCATTTGATTGCAACGCCCAACGCACAACAACGCAGAGGTGCGACGCCTATCGGTTCGGTCTTTGCACAACGCCTGTCAATAAAGTTGATGCGCCCTTTTTTCTTTTCAGAGGGCTTACACAAGATACTGATGCTGTAGGTGTGTTGGCCAACATTGTTAGAAAATAGAAGCCTGTTTACCTGTTTCTCGGTAAGATGGAACTTGCTCGCTCGTGCTACGTCTACTGCACCGATACCTATTTGAACATAGGTAGTCTGCTTTATTCATATTACTTCATATCACTTGATTTTTGGATTAGCTGAGCCAGAGTCCTGTAGTCTATTAAAGGGACCCTCCCACCTTCAAAAAAAGCTAATGATTTATTGGCATAAAAGTGATGTTGCTTGGTTCAGAAAGAGTGAAAACGAATATCTACCAAATTTCACCAAAAAATATTCACCGGTTTTCAGGATATTAGACTTTTGCTTTTGTTTACTTTTTGGATCCCTCCTGTTTCTAGCGACTTTATTTGGAAGCAATAATTTTGCAGCCTTGAAGTGCGGCAGACGTTGCGCGTAAAGCAGCTAGAGGTACCATCACGTGTTAACAATGGTTTTAGTCTAAGATTTAAAAATTGTTAGATATCCACTGACGTCACAAATTCTAAGGGGGCATCCCAATGCATTAGCCCTTTAGAATCCAAAAACTGCAAGCTTGAAATTCCATAACTCAGAATTAAAGCATTTTTCGATGTTGTGAGTGCCCAAACTGGTATTTGCAGGCCATGGCCACCAATTTGGCTATCTCAACTCAAAACTGATGTTAAGGTGGGATGGTCACTTTAATGTTATAGCACTTTAAGGCTCACCTCCCTGGGCTGGCTGTGCACTCCTGGCTCAACCTGGAGGAGATACAATTACCCCAAATGCGCCAAATGCCTTCCAGTTCCAACTGATAGTGCAGACAACAGGTCACCAGCAAAGCCCATAGTGACCACTTCTATACGTTTGGTGTAGTTGGTGGTTTACTGTATCCAAGAACCAGTCGAAGGAAGTCAAGAATCAGAAAAAAAAAACTAAGTCCCCAACCCCTTGGGGCTGGGACGAGTGACCAGCGGCCTTTGACGAACGATGAGTAACATTTCGCGGAATCGGCAGTATGGGGCGATCGACCTGGGGAATGAGACGAGAGACAGTGGCTAGGACAAATGGATGGCTGGCTGAACAAACGACAGACGGCTGGGATGCGTGGTTTGTCCTGGGACAGACGTTCTAGGACGAGGGACCGTCGGACGGGTCGAGCCGTCAGCCGAAGTCAAGTGGTATTGCGTGGTTCAGGCTATCGCTCGGAGTAGTTTTTTGAAAAGACAAATTCTCCATTCCTTCATTACAGTGATATTAGGTAATTGGTAATTAGAGCAGCCCCTCGGATAACCAAAAACGCAACGGAGATACCGGGAATTAATAAAGTTGTACCAGAAAACGAACTATCAATCAAACGGTATCTACCGTTCTTTTTAATCAAACAAGTCCTTTTAATAATTTTGTTTTAATTTAGCCCGTTAAACAAGTCCGATCTTCCCTTCCTGACAATCGTAACGACGTTGCAGAATGTAAGATAAGAGGATGGCTCATGTCACCGTATGGCCATTACCCCGTGAAGGCTTGTTCCAACTTCCATGCATGAATTTGAACGTAGAACTGAGCTGATTCATTCGTTGACATCTCTATGCATTTATAGGTGAATGGCCATGTCTAATAAAGGGAAACCAAGCGTCAGGGAAGCAGAGATCGAAAAATGTCGAGAAGAGGGAAATTGGAAAAGAATAATCGACTTGGCTGAGCAAGTGAAGCAGAGATCGCCTTCTTCAGGTAAGGCGTGTGCAAAATACGTGAAGCGGTTCGCATAGTACGTCTTGCTCCACATTTTACAAGAGATGACTACTTTATTTTGTAAATGGAGCTCTCGATTTTTATGTTTTGGTATTTAGTAGGTATGCGTTGTCGTAACTGCATTTCCCTATCCGTGTGTTTGTGCACGCAGAGCCACTGGCCACGTTCCTGATCTCCGAGGCTCGACTGGAAGCCTACCTGGAGGAGAACCCTCCCACCGAGGCGAACCACGAGCGGGCGCGTGCCGAGCTGCGCGCCGTGCAGCGGCAGCTCACCTCCGCCGCGTCGGCCGATCCCTCACAGAAGGTGGATATGACCATCGACGCCCACCTGCTGCTCGGCAAACTGCACTACGCCATGGGCCTGTACGAGGACGCGCTGCTCAACCTGTCCCGCGCCGGACTCGACACGCTCTCCAAGCGCCAGCTGCCGACGCGCAGTCTGCGGGTGGTGGCGGAGTCGTACGCCGTTAAGGGTCTCTGCCTGGAGAAGGTACCGCTCGCTAGCACTAGCAAGTTCAAGGCGGCTGAGCGCGAGGAGGCCATCATATCGTCGTTTGAGTTGGCCAGTGACCTGGCGCTGCTGTATCTCCAGGAGATGGACCGGGCCGGCACCACGCAGAGCACATGGAGCGTGCATACGGCCGGGTCGTCCAGCTCGCCCCTTCCGCCGCCCTCCGAGAACCGGCTGGGCCTGATCCTGGAGACGGCACTGCAGAAGGCGCCCATCCTCAGCCTGAAGGTGGGACAGATGCCGCGCGCCATCCAGCGCTACCGCATGATGCTCAGCGCCGTCGAAACGTCCGCCACGCAGGGGGTACGTCTGGCGATGGCACGTCGCCTCTCGGAGATCCTACTGCGCGGCGTCAGTGACCGCGCCTACCACCAGCTGGACGCTGTGCTGGTCAGCGCGCAGAAGAAGAGCTCGGTCGGTGGCCGGCCGGCCGTGTCGCCCTGGAAGCCACGCCGTCAGGCGGGTACCAACCTGTTCGTCCCCAAAGACATCAACGAGGAGATAGTGCTGCTGCTGCTCATCAGTGAGGCTCTAGCAGTCCGTGAGGCGGTGCTCACGCAGTCGCCGGAGACGCGCGAGGCGCGCCACAAGTCCTACGAAGTGGCTACCTCTGTGTACGACCTGATGACGATGGCGCTGGTCAGGAAGGGCCAGGCCGTCATGCTCTGTGAGGTGAGTAATGCGGCGGCGGCGCGTATACGCCCTACAAGCTCACACTTTGCCCTATAATGTACGGTCTACAGTTACACTCTACGCTCTACACTGTCGTCCGAAAGGGCGAACTTATGTCTTATATTCATGATGCATTACGTTACTTGCATTTAGCTTGTCAGTTTACCACTAATAGCAATAGATTACCCCATATATGGGATAGTAATTTTGTCTAGTGCATGCTGGTGATTGTGTTAACCTCAGAGATGCTGCTCCTCAGCTGACCAGTGCATCCCGCTCCGTCAGTCGCTGGAGCGCGCGCTGCGGTTCAGTTTCGAGGAGGCTCACGTCTGGCAGCAGTACGCCCTGTCGCTGGTGGCCGCCGGCCGGCCGGAGCGGGCTCTCCTCGTTCTGGAGGAGGCTGTGCGGCTGAACCCCGGTCAGACCGTGCTGCTCCTGCTGGCTGCCAGAACCTGCTACCAGCACCTGCATCAGGTGAGGCGGGACTGACACCAGCACTGCATCAGGTAAGCAGGCACTGATATCTGTGTCAAACAGCGAAAGGTTGCGGTCGGGATGTTGTTAGTGCGGTACGTATCGGAGGCTCCAGGGGACCTTGTTACCAGCACCAAGTGGAAAGAATGTGGGCGGCATTGTGCCAATAGAATATGCACCGAGCTCTGTGGCAGTTGAGTGATAGTATAGTGGTGTTTGCCGTCAGTAAGGTAAGTGACAGACAGTGCTGAACTGTTTATCGTCAGTATTATGTGACAGTGTTGTGATTCTATTTGCCTCCAGTACGAGGACGGCGTACGTTGGAGCGAGCAGGCCGCGCAGCAGGGTACCGGCCACGGCGGCAGCGGCTCCGTGGGCCTGGCTAGTCGCGCCCATCTCTATCTGGGTATAGGACAGATGCTGCTGTCTGCTCAGTCCCGGCAGCAGCAACATAAACAGCGGCTGGCCGACTCGGCGGTCGACAACTTCAGACGGTGAGTCTTACTTGGAGAGAAGGAGGAGGAGACTGGGGAATGGGGAAGGGTAACTATTGTATGGGAGCAAGAGATGAATGGGGAATGGATGGATCATGGATGGTAAAGGGGAGATAAATTTCGCAGATGGGTATAGGCTGAACAGAGGGAAATTCACGGGGTAGAGGGATGACGTCTTGGGCAATGGTAGATGTGTACCATGCAGAGAATCGCTGATAAATGCGTTTGGAGCTCATGTTTGCTGAATCCTGACCCTGTGTGCATGTATAATGTGTCTGTGTTGGAAAAATGTTCGGAAACACCTACGCCCAGTCGTTAGACCGTTTACTGTCCTGTTCTCAGACCACTCAGAGAGCTAACCCGCCTCTTTCCCCGACCAGATGCCACGAGCTGGACCCGGGCGACCACCTGGCCTCGTTCTACCTGGGCTACCAGCTGGCCCGTGCACGTGAGGTGGACGAGGCGGTGACTCACGTGCGCACGGCGCTGCAGCGTCGGCCTGACCACCTGAGCTCACTGCACCTGCTGGCCCTGCTGCTGACTGCCGAGAACCGGCACACGGCCGCTCTGGAGGTACGTACGGGTGGATCAGAGGGGTCGGACGGCAGAAGGGGTGTCACCGGGCTGCTGGGCATGCGTGCTTGCAGCAGCGAGGTGGTGACGACATCGCAAGTACGTTACCTGCGCCATGTGCGCCTTTTGTGTCCTACTGTTGCGTTACGTTTGGTGCAAGAGTGCTTAGAGTTTGTAACCTGTTTGCCGGTGTGTGCAGAGTTGCAGCTGCAAGGTGACGCAAAAAAAAGAAACTCTTGAATCGCTGACCCGTTTGTGCTTTTATTGTTTTCTTTGCAGCTTCTGCAGGCGGCTCAGGAGGAGTATCCAGAGGACCTGCAGCTGATGAACACGCGAGTCCATGTGGAGGAGTTCTGCAACGGAACGGAGGTGAGCTGAAAACTAAATCTGCTGTCACTGCTCTCCGGCAGCGCAGCGATCGTGGCAGTGAGCTGAGCCCAAGACACTGATAGTTTCACGGCTGTCGGCAACTTTTTGAGGGGCACCTCGGAGGGTCTGGGGCTCGCTGAAGGCCCACTCTCATGCGTTATCGCTGTGTTTGCTGTATAGCCAGGCACCGCTGGCCCTCTGGGATATTAGGGAGGAGTCGGAATCCGGGACACTGTGGAGGGATCAGTGACACTGTGATGAAGTCCGTTACACTGTGAATGGCCGGCTCTCGCCGCCGGCTGTGCATCTGTCCATGTCGCCAGGCGTCGTTGGATGTCCGGGACACCGGCGAGGTTTGGGAGCTAGAGTGCTGCGGGGAATCTTACCTTCCATCTGTGTGTCTCTCGGTCCTGGCTCTCACCGGCCGCCTGTGTGTCTGTCCATGTCTCCAGGCGGCGCTGGGCGTGGCGCGCGAGATGCTGGAACAGTGGAAGGAGATCTACGACGCCCGGCTAGCGGAGAACAGTGCCGACAACGACCGGCAGTACAGCGTTGTCTCTGATCCCGACTCGGGTGAGTACCCTGTGCCGGTGTCGGGCGAAGACACGGAGGGACAAGGGTAGGAGTGGGGGAGTCGAGATGGGCCGCCCCTGGCACATACTAGAGAGTCCGAGGGTCACTCCTGTGTTGCTGTTGTGTATTGCCATTGTTGGTAAATCATGACGATACTCACTGTCAGAGGGAGGTTTTGTGATCGGCTTACACATTTTTCTTAAATGAATGTAACAAGGATCAGGATGTTATTTTAGTTTGGTAACTCTCTCAGCCACTCACGATTCAGAAAGCGTTTCCATCACCGATCTCTGGCCGGTGGGGTTCAACCAATTGCGCCTTGGCCTGACACTGATAAAATATACCCCAAGTTTCACGGGTTAAGATCATGTTTGGATGCACACTGTCGAAATGGCTGTCCAATGCTCACGTATTAGTGCAACGCATTAGTGCTATGCTGATCTGTTGGCTCCGGTGGGGCCTCTCGTAACATTTAGGCATTGCTCGGCTGTGGCACACGGATTGGCCTGCTTTTAAGTAAAAACGAGTTCCGATGCTGTTCAATGAGCTAAATATCTCATGAAGTGAAGCGGTCGGTGGTTGATAATCATTGACGCAAAGGTCAGGCTGATTTAGTGCAATCTTACTGCAGCAGCTGACGTAGGTCGCTGAATTTATTACTTTGTAGCTTGTTAAGTTCGAATAGTGTAGCTCCATTTTGGAAAGCGATTGTCTGGTGCACTGGAGAGTGTTGTTTCGCTATTTTTTCATGATATATAAGCTTTCATCATCGCTTATATTCATTTGTCTCGAGCTCTACTAAACTGTAAAAATATGCCTAACAAATGAAGCCGTTCTGACCGAATGTAATCAAACCTTTGCTGCAATCTATGTTCAGAAGGTAACAGGCGGCGTCAGCATGCTGTTAAAATCTACTAGCACAATAATTGGAATGCATAGAAATTAAGACACGCTTTGAAATCAGTACCGCTTAACACGTAACATTTCATTAGCTTATCATAGTGGATTGATCGCTTCTCATCTCACAGAGAATGGCAGTAACACGACACTGCTTTAAATGCAGCGTGAACAGCGCATGAACGACTAACCTTGCACTCGTTTTTACGTGCCAGAATAGTATCGCTGCCAGCGGCCAGCGAATATTATTTCGTGGCACATTATCTCGCACGTCTACCTCATGCAATTGTATTGGCTCCGTAAGACAATGAAATAGTGTCGATTCCTTGTTTCGGGCCCTACCTTAGAACTACCGCCCAGTACACCAGTGCAGTATACAGTAGGTAGCAGGTGCAATATAGTAATAGTGCAGTATAGTACGGTGCCTAGTGTAGACTAGTGTCCGGCGTCTGTGCACCGGTAGTCTGCCGTGTAGTCGGCGGCTGGTCCGCGGTGCTGGTGCTCGCGGCCCGTGGCTCTGACCGGCGGGCCGGCCCGCAGCCGCGTGTGTGACCCGCCTGGTGACGGGTCCGCTGGAGACTCTGGCGCTGCCGGTGCTGGGGCCGGCGCCGCTGCTGGCTGCCTCGTCCAGCGCGCCGGCTGACCGCGCCTCGGATCGGTCAGGTAGCCCGCGCCGCCGCCGCCGCCGCCTGTACATAGCCAGAGAGTGGCCCTGCTGCAGTGTGGACGGGTGGGAACTGGTGGACATACCTCACCGGCTGACGCATCAGCGGACATGCTGGACGGACGCACAGACACAGTTGGATTAAAGACAGACGTACAGAGCCAACGATAGAAAAAAAAGATGACAAACTGGGAAAGACGGACGAGGACCGGCTGACCTCGAGGTCACATCTGACTGGTGCAGGATAGGGAGCATCGACGTCTCTGCATATTGACGGGGAGAGAAATATTGGAACGCCACAACTCGAGTCCGTGTCAGATTATCACTGCCATGTGCTAAGGGTGTGGTAAATCCTGTTAACGCACTGCTACTGAGCTAAATCCACTGCCAGAGACTGGTCCGATACGTACCGGCGGATTTAATTTACATAAGTCTTGAAATTGGGACCTGAATCGAGTGACATGTTGTGTTGGGTATTTATTTTGACTGACGTGGTTTGGGCGTTTACTTTCTAGCACAGATGCTTGGGTTTTGGGGTTAACCAGCGAGCGACGCTCAGTGTGATATTTGACTGTATAATTTGAGCACGGTGCTGGATTTGACTCATCTACTAGCTCTCGCTGTTCAGATACGCTGTTCTCGGCCTGCGGTAACGCTGAGTTGGCTGAGTTTTCTGACAAGTGGGGCTGGGTGCTGAGTTTGAGAGTGCAAAGTTCCGCGGGCGGCCGACGGGCCGGACGGCTGGCTGAACCTACCCGACTCCGGGATAGAGCTCTGTTTGTGGCGTGGCCTGCATGGTGCCAGCGGTAGGTACTAGACAATTATAGTGGCTGCAGATCACCTTTTCTTTTCTATAGGTGGTGTCAACAAGCATGTACTTTTGTTTATATTCTCTGACAATATTAACTTGTAGAAAAGTGACATTTTTAAATAACTGCACATAACTGAATATTTGAAGGGGCGTTGTACATACTGGTGATGGCTATGGTATTTTATCTTCCTTTCCTCTTTACATCACACCGTTCTTATGTGCATTGTCATCAAGTGAATGGTCATTTGGTGAAGTGAATGCCCTGAATGCCCATTCTGTCAAGTGAATGGCCAAATAGCGGCCATCCTGTGCAGATTCTGTGTGATTACTGATTAGTCAAATCATGGTAGATGGAACATGGCAATCAGTATCGTTAAACAGAGCAAATGCCTCTGAGGCATGGATATCATTTGCATACCGTTTGCTTTTTTGAGCTGTCCTTTTGGTAGAAATCACTATTCACTGGTATAACGTGCTTGTAATACAGCATATCTGTATTTCGATATATCTAGAAGTTAAGTAGTAGGCATCTCTATGAGCCCGTGTCTGCCTGTTCTGGCTGCCTGTAACTCCTCCCCCGCCTCGGCAGGCTCTGTGCGCGCTCCGTCCACCATGGCTCCGTCCCGGGTGGAGCAGGCCCTCTCTGAGGTGGCCTCCTCTCTCAACTCGAGCCAGCCACGCTCGGGTCCGCAGCAGGTGTGGACGCTGCAGATCCAGATCTGGCTGCTCAGCGCCGAACTCTACCTCAAGTAGGTGCCGGTGGTTGGGTTTTGGACGGTTCCGAACTCTACCTCAAGTAGATGGTATTGGACGGGTGTGGGATGGTCCGGAACAACGGATGGCGCCGTGCCCATGGACCTTTGCCCCTAGTGTGCACTGGCCTCTTCACACTAGTGGATGCTCGATCGTGCAAAATTTACTCGAGCTGTATGTTATGTTGCCCTTAAGTTTTGCTTCATGCAGATTCCTCGACGAATAGTTTGCGTCGTTCTAGACGTAGCAAGCTCGGCGTGCGGTGTTGTAATGCCAAGGCTGTCTTATCGTGTTGCTTTGTTGGTTGGCCAGGGGATCCGTCGTGCCCTGTCGATGGTCGCGTGCACTGTGCGAGTAGGCTGGTGCAGTGTGCCGTATCCTGTGTCTTGTATCTGAGCCGTTGCGTGTGTCCCTCAGACTGGACCAGGTGAGCCAGGCCATCTCATGCGTCCAGGAGGCGTCCACCATCGCTCCGGCCTCACACCACGTCCTCTACATGGTGAGCTGGTGGGCCAGAAGGGACTGGTCACTAGTGGAACAACGGGGTATGGTGGGACAGCAGGGACCAGCGGGTAGGATATCGCTGGTGGGACAGCAAGGGACGGACGGGACAGCAAGGGGAGGATTTGTGAGACAGAAGGTGGGAGCTGTGAGAGCTGTTCGGTGAAACAACTGGGTCACTGGTGATTTTGGTTGAGTCTTTTGCGTCGCGTTGAGTATTCACAGCAGTCCGTGTGCGCTGCAGCCGGCGTCCCTCACCTCTCGCGCTTCCTCCGACAGAAAGGACTGGTGCACGAGTACAAGCACGAGTTTGAAGAGGCCAAACAGCACTACAGCGACGCGCTGGCCCTCAACCCGCACCACATCAAGAGCCTGCAGCACATTGTAAGTAGTCGTTCAGGTCACTGTCCGACCTACTGTTCATAACGAAACTGATCACCAGTCTGGCCGCGACAGCGCCAAAGCAGTGCCACCCCGCCATAGTAAAGTTAACTATCTATCGTGTGTCGTTTGTCGATTCATTTGGGTTCATGAGGAGTAACAATTTCGTTTTATGTTTCATTATAAAGCTGCAGCGCAGCCTGATCCGAACTGTATCAAACGTTTCGCTGATTGTCTGTCGGCCCTGTGTTTCAAGCGTGGATAGCCTATCGGCCCTGTATTGACATTTGTGTGTGTGCGTCGCCCTCCGTCAGGGTCTGGTGCACCACTACCTGGGCAGCCACCGGCTGGCGGAGAAGATGCTGCGTGATGCCATTCAGCTGGAGCCGCTGGTGCACCGCACCTGGTGAGTACAGAAATCGCTGCACCTCTCCCCCCCCCCCCCCCACACACACAGACACACGAGGGCGGGGATTTTGAATGGTCCTGACTTATTTTTAGAGAAGGTTCGTATGTTGATTGAGAAATTATTGATATTGTGTATGGGTCTAATGTATAATCAACGTGCAGTGATTTGATGGTGCCGTGACCGCCGGCCCGAACAGGGTAATGTAAACATAAATGCGTTTGGATTGTTTCTGAGGATGGCGGGAGCGGAAATGTGGTTTCTTTTACAGCCGGTCACTCAGGCTGCGCAGTTTTTGACGAAGTCCGTCAGTTCCCGAGTTTAAATTGATCGAGTCACCACTCCCCGTTCGTTGCCAGGTACAACCTGGGCAAGGTGCTAGAGTTTCTGGGCGAAAACGAGGCGGCTGCCGACTGTTTCATGACCGCCGTTCACATTGAGGCGTCGGCGCCCGTTCTACCGTTCACCACCGTACCGCTATGCTTCGAGTGAGCGCCGCTAGAGGCGCCACTGTCGCCGCCGCTCCCCCCCCCCCCCGCCCTCCCGCCGCGTCTGCTGCTTTTAGTAGGTGCGATTCGTGATTTTGTCTCGTCAGTGGTGTGTGATATCATGTTTGTTTTCCATGTAATTTTTTTTTTTAGGTTGGTGCCAAACTGGATGCAGGCAATATTTGTTGAATCGGTGATATATTCTGGCATCGGCTGGTGCTGGATATTTTAAGAGGTGAATGCCTATCGCCACTCCGTAAGCGTGTAGCTATCGATATAGAGAGAGCATCCATCAATATGGAGCGTCACAATTAGAGGATCTAGGGGTCTCTTTTACTCGTAGCTCCATGGGCCACTGTTAGCAAGTCCGCTTTTGTCAGCAGAGGTGCCAGGGCCCGTGCCCAGCGAAGACCGATGTACTAGTCAGGTCGTGGTGGCCGATCGTCGCTCTCTAGGTCAGTGCCGATGGTCTGTGCCGTTACGTACGTAAAAAAACATCCCACGACTGCCGTGCTGTTATCTATACCTGTGGTATCTATATGTATGTTCAATATATTGTGTGTATGGGATTCACTGGGTCTGTGGTAAGGCACGTACCTTCTTGGGGTGCTCTGTTATAACATCTAGTATTTCATACTTGAGTGCATATTTTCATTTATTGGTAAAAGACTTGACAAAGATATTTCTTGACAAAAAAACTCGACAAATGACTCAGCATCTGAGTCGTCTAGAGTAAAAGGGTGCAAGAATAAAAAATATCAGTTACTTCCGAGTTATGTGGTCAGATGTTTTCCTTATGTATTTCATTCAGCCTCCACACTATGTATATAGCATCAGTGCATTACGCGTCTCCCATCGGGAAAAAAAAAATCACATACATAAGCCAGTATCGTAGCTGAAGCTCCCATGGTCTCTTATCACTTGTTACTAGCCGGCCCATGTTACCCGGTGACCTGAAGTGATCTGGGATCAGAGCAGGGAGGGACAGCCCCCCCCCCCCCTCAGCGACCTCAGTCCGTATGTTGCTCCACGACTGCCCTGTGTCATGTCAGCCGGGGAGCGATATCAGTTGACGGCCTGTCACGGCGCGTCCGATCAGACACGTGCCGCCGGAGCGGCGTCATCGGTCACACCACAGCCGGCGGCACGTCATCCGTCACTGTCAACGGGTGGAGATTCGCGAGCGTCACCCGTCAGCGGCAGAACATCCGCCAATGCAATAGCTATACATACACCTGCACTCTTTCATAAATAGGGGCCAGGAACTATGTTTCATCCCATGGAGGACATGGGGACAAGGAGCTCCTGCCTACCCCCTCCCTATCTCCCATTATGGGCATGAAATCCGGGAAGGCCCTACTTTGCCTTAGATGTCGGTGACCACACGTTTTTGAGCAGTACAAATACAGCTTGTTTGCTGACTGGCGCGTTTATGTGGGTACTTACCGTTTGCTCGTCATGATATCAGCGGTATTTGTTTGATGTAGTGCAGGCATATCCCATATGATATCATGACCGGTTCCACAAAGTGCTCGCCCAGGTAGGGTAAAGTGGGCCAGTGACTGCAGTGCAAATTTGAATTTACGGTCCATATCAGTTATCAGCGACGCGGAGTGCCGCAGTCAATCAGGGCCCAGGGTGAGGGGTGTGTGCTCTACTAACTACCCACTTTGACGTAAGCAGTAAGCACACCTTATGGCCCATTAGTGGATATGACATACTGGACCATAAGGCGATCGGGTCATCTTGACATCTCTTATCACCGCCCTTGTTGAAGATCTCAAATCTTCCATGGTGGCTTGGGCTTTGTCAATGGATGTTGTGCCGTCCAGGTCGTATATGGATGTCGTTTTTCCAAACGTCTTCCGTGCGTGGAAGTGTTGTTGTTTACCCCTCTCCCCTGGACATTACCATTCGTCACAGGGGACACCATGAGTGGAACAATGGGACGACGCTCGGTTAACGGGGCTGGGAGGCACGCGGGGGGTCGGTCCGCGCACAGGACACACGTACCAAACACCCACGCAGCTGACTGGTCAGATAGTATCGCGGTCCTCCGTCACTGTCGGCCGCCGCTGCCGCACAGACGGGTCGCAGAGCCGCCGGACCCGGGTCGCTCCATCTCCCCTTATTCGGCCGAGGCTGCCCCAGGCGACACACATGGGCATCACATGACCGCGCCCATTTGAATCCGATGGGAAACGGAGAACTGGTGCAGTAGCGAAATGCCGCATTTAGTGGCTGTTGTTGGCTGTTCCTTACGAAATCGTAGGCTGTTCCTCTCTTGCCATCCAGGCGATGCGACGCCCGTGGTCCTTCTGTATTTACGGTGCGCATATACTGCCGCTGGGTGAGCCCGTGTGTTTGGTGGCCACCCTGACCAGTAACCACCCAGGTCCCAGGCGATGACGCCTGACGCCGCCGGCAGGTGATGAAGTCATCAGGGCGTCCAGCGGCCTGTGAAACAGCACCGGAAGCGGCCAGTTCCGGTGCCCGGTCGAACCACTGGAGCATGCCACCCCTCCCCTCCCACCTCACGGCAGATACAATAGCTGAGGTCGCATTTGAACGGTTTACACTTTGATGTGGGATGTTGTTGAGCGTGATACATTGTGGTATTGTATCCCTTTGTACATAAAAGTACGCCTTTACCTGGCGGGCCACCGGTAAGGATGCATCAATTCGGAATAGCCCCCGAGGCTGACAGGAAATGCCGGTGTCTACTGTCTTATTAAGACAGTAGACAGTCTGTAAGACAGTAGACAGTCTGTCTATGTCAACAGCATAGATTGACGTGGGAAAGTTCTGTCACCATTAACATGGCTTGTCAATAAGTCACTGTTGTAAGTTGTGAGAAAAGTGTCTGTTCAACGACACACGACACATAATTTTAGTTACATTTGGAGGGCGATTAATGATATGAATGGAAACATTTGAGGAGACCGCTAATATTCCTTCCTGTTTTCTTCTGTCCGTCTAATCTGACTTCTCTATTATCTCCCTCCCTCTCCTCCACTCCACTCCCTCCTCCCTTCCTTCGGTCTCTCTCCACGCGACCGATTTGCTGTCGAGCTGCGTTCGGCTCTGGTCGCACGCGGCTCATCGTGTCGTGCTCCCTCCCCTCCCGCCCCTGCCCCGCTCCATAGCTCCCCGCTACCGGAAGGCTGACCGGAATGGCGATGGCCCGGTGACTTTGTCGTCCAGCTGTATGAAAGGGTGATACTCGTAGCTCAAGTAAAAGCTACACTAAACATGTACTTTTCTCGGTACTGACAACGATCTTATAACATGTAGTGAGAAATTCCCATAAGTCAGTGGCGCAGCCAGGGGGGGTCAGAGGGTCAGCTGACCCCCCGAAATATCTGTCAGGGGCCCGCTCGAGAGAGAGAGAGAGAGTGAGAGAGAGAGAGAGAGAGAGAGAGAGAGAGAGAGAGAGAGAGAGAGAGAGAGGAGAGAGGAGAGAGAGAGAGGTCCTAATCTAATCGGACGAGCCCGCTTCGAGAAATGCCCACTGCGACACCTCGGGTGAGGGGTCGGCCTGGGGCCCCAGGTGGACAGGGCCCGGGCCCCCAGGAGAACGGGCCCGGCCCCCTGGGTGGATGGGACCCGGGCCCCCTGTAGATGGGTCCGGGCCCCCGGGTGGATAGGGCCCGGGCCCCCCGGCGGATGGGGCCCCGGTGGATGGATCCGAGCCACCGGGAGAACGGGCCCCGGGTGGACGGGGCCCGGACCCCCGGGTCCCGCGAGAACGGGTCCAGGCCCCTCGGGTGGATGGGGCCCGAGGCTCCGGGAGAACGGGCCCGGGCCCCCTGGGTGGAGGGGGCCCGGGCCCCCGGCTGGATGGGGCCCGGGCCCCCGGGAGAACGGCCCTGAGCCCCGGGTGGACGGGGCCGGACCCCCGGTTGGATGGGGCCCGGGCCCCGGGAGAACGGGCCTGGGCCCGCTGGGTGGATAGGACACGGGCCCCTGGGTGGATAGGGCACAGGCCCCCGGGTGGATGGGGCCCGGGCCCCGGGAGAACGGGCCCGGGCCCCTTAGGTGGATGGGGCACGGCCCCCCGGGTAGATGAGGCCAGGGCCCCCCGATGGATGGGTCCGGGCCCCCGGGAGTACCGACCCCAGGCCCCGGGTGGACGGGGCCCGGGCCCCCGGCTGGATGGGGCCCGGGCCCCCTGGTGGGCGGGCCCCGGAGCCCCGGGTGGACATGGCCCGGAGCCCAGGTGAACGTGGCCCGGGCCCCCGTATGGATAGGGCTTGGTCCCCCATGTGGATAGGGCCCGAGCCCCCGGGTGAATGGGGCCCGCTAGGGTGACCCGCTTGCTTCGCAACGCGAATAAGGGGTATTTTCGATCGGTGGGCGTTTGGTTGGTCTTGTGTCTGTGGGTTATGTATCCATTACGGTCGATTGCCTTTTGACGGCTAAGCATTTTGGTTTTGGGAAAAAATATCCATCGCATCGAGGTGCTCGTGTCTGATAATAACCATGCGTTCTACTATAGAACATGCCAAGTGTATTTCATGACATAGGTTGGCGTAGGTTATTGAAGAGTGAAAGCCATCGATGAATTACTATGTAGAGGTTTGAAACATTTATATTCTTAAGAATATTGTTGCTCGTCATGCAAAAGCGATGATTGGACCTTGGTCACAATTGAATGCTCTTCCAATCTATGCCCATTTCAATTGTCAAACATACCAGGTTATGTAGCAAAACCCCTGTAATTAAGTAAGTCATAAGCAAATGCTATTTTCTCCAGCAATTTGTTCCACCTTGTTTTTGATCAATTAGCTTTTCACAATTTTCCCATGAGAGGCGGTAGGTACATTTCTCTTGCCAACAAGCGTTGTTTGAACCCGCTCCGTCTAACAGTCACCCAAAAATAGCATTAAGTCCAAAATCCGTCCAAAACGTCAATTTTTCAAGCATAAGTGCCCTCACGGGTGCACGTGGCGCGTGCCATCCCTGCACCGCACACCATTCGATAGCCCGTTCGATTCTCATGCACGATACTGTGTTCCTCGTGCCGATCGGACCCACGGTTACCGAGATACTGCACGGGGACCGGACCCGTGTCGGGCAAGTTGAGCCATTGTCGCCCATTTTTGCAAGCCGATTTATGCATGTAAAGTCTATGACGCGAATTTGCACTTTTTGAGCACGCGCCATGTGCTCACCACCGGCCCGATCGAGCTGTGACTCTTCACAGGCACGTTACCCATCCTTGTTCTATAAGTTGCGCGAATTTCAGCGCACTATGGAAGTTACGTCGCGATCAGCCGCTTTTTTACGCGAGTTCTTCGCGAAAAAAACCTTAGGGGGTTGCATCAACCCCTCCCCCCTGTGCCGGCGAGGGTTAAAACTTCTTACGAGCGAATTCACGTAATGAAGAAGAATAAAAGCACAATCTACTACAGCAGCCAATAGATGACTTAGGACAGGCACATGGGACTACTTTTAAATCTTGTGCGACAGAAGCAGGCAACAGTTCCGATTGCATATAATATGCTATGCATATTGCGGAATTGGGGCTCATATCGGACTCGAAAGATACGAAGTCATACGTCATAGTAACATATTTCTGTCGTGGTCAATTTGCGTAAAAAGTGAAGACCGGGTGATTACCGAGCTACTGTTCTATGCAAATTTTCTGATTCAAACTCGCTCAGGGTTATCGTGCAGGTAAAGGGGGCCCGCCCAGCAGAATGCGTATGAAATATGGAGAGATTCTGAAAAATGGGTGGGGGCCCGCACACTAGGGGGCCCGCTTTGGAAGCGATGACCCCCCCGAAACGAAATCCTGGCTGCGCCACTGGGCTGTCATCTGAGCTCACCGTAAAGAATGTAGATATTTGGCGTCGGATGCTGCGAACGTATCCCTGCCGTCAGCCGTCAATGTGGGGCCTTGGTCTTTGTTATCCTCCAAACAGCTTCGGGCGACTCCGGTCCGTCAGCGAACGCTAATCACCCGGTGCGAAGTGTCTCAATTGGACGGAATGTATGCGCGTGTGAGTGGGAGTGTGCTGACAAGGCCTGACCGAGCGGCCGCCGCGGGCGACTGGTGGTCCGATTACCGGTCCGGCGTACAATTAGGTGTCAGTCAGGACTCAGGGATGGGCCTGGCGCGGCCGGCTCACCGCAAAAACGGAAATACCCGCCCGAGCCAGCCGTGGAGTGAGTGTAAGCGGTGAATGGGATCGCTAACAACTGATGGCATAATCCCCGCCCAGTGCGAGTATGTGGTCGGGTCAGAAGAGAGAGGAATATAAACGGAGAAGACATTAATAGGAAAGCATGCAAGATAACATTTGCGCCCCGTTTCTTCTCGAGTTTCGTTGATGGCTAGGCAACAGCTGAGCGTCGTCAAGCAATCCTACCATGTGACCGATTTGTCATTCTGTCCTGACTAAATATGCCACACCTGGCGTAGGTACCTAATTGGTGCAATCCAAGTTCATGAAAGGAATGTCTATATAATTGCTGTTGTCCCTGATAAGCATACCGGGGGCATGTGCCGAGGGTTCTAACAAGGCTCGACCTTGATCGAGCCGGGACGTGATGCCACGTCTGATGGATGGTCCATCGGTCCGGCTGGTCGTCGGTGACCTCTGATTGGCTCCCGATAGTGGTAATGAGTCGCCAGGTCGCCGGGTCAAGGTCAGTGCGCGACATTTAGAGACGGGCTGGCTGCTGGTGCCGATAGGGTCATACGGCACACCGCGCTATCGGAGATCACTATCAGAACTTTACCTGGGTGAGAAGTTTGTTAGCAAATGTCTTCACCTATACCTAACCTGGCGGTCTGTCCTGTGTGGCACTGACCGCATGCGATATTCACGGTTAGACTCAAAAAGGGAACCACGAGAGGCTTCAACCATGAGTAATCACAGTCTCACAGGTCGGTCATCAATCCAATATCCAAAGTTATTCCTGCCTGTCTAACGTATGGCGGAGGTATATGTACTATGCGATATGCTGCATTTAAATGTGCATCTTTGCCGGAAGCATTGAGACTGCGACATAGCGTATGTGGTTGCCAAATACGCTTTCCATCCTATACCAATCTGCCCACAAAGGACCGTGCCGAGGCCAGCTGCCGGGCTCGTGTACCGTCGCAGGAACGCTCGGCGCACGTGGGCCGTGTCGGCGGCGGCGCCTTTTATCGCGGCTCCTGTTGACACCTGCGATAAGCTCGCACCAGTGCTGTCCTCGCTGTTACGCGCGCCGCACGCCGCGGGCTCACCGGAGGCGATCCTCTGGTGGCCCGCAGGCGTTGATGGTGTGTCACCCTGACGGTCTGAGGCTCGGCAAGCACCGTTCGCCTGGCGTCCAGCCAAACTTCCCAGCCCTGGAAACGGCTAAGGTCTAATGATGTAGCCACAGTGGCGCGCGGCGGATTGCGGATTTGTCGAATATGAGCAACACTCATCGCGCTTACCGCAGCCAGCTGGAGTCGGGACGATTTGGAGGCGCGCTGACTGAACTGGGATTGCCGTGGGATTAGCGTACAGATGGCAAATGGCCGCCGATTTCGGAGTGACTGAATGTCCCCTCGGGGCTAAGCTGCGTCTCGTTCTTCCTCCGCTCCTCGCGGATTGATATAACTACCAGCCTCGTGTCTCGGTGAGCGCCTAAGCGTCCCGTGCCGCCCCTCGGACCGGCAGGTGCCGGCCGGCGGCGGCGATCGGAGCTGATGGGCGAGTGTCGGCGTCAGCGCAGCAGCTGCCGATGATAGCCGGCGAGCGGCGCCGCTCGAGGCCGCCACAGATCGTAATCGGCCGCTCCGCCGCGCCGAAATCATCCTCATTACACGGTCACGCCCCGTGCTGGGAAGGGCCGGCGGCGGCGGAGTGCCGCCAGCTCGGCAGCGACGCGCCGCGCCGCCGCCGCTCAGGGCGGCCTGGCAATCCACCGGCCTTATCAGCGGGATATGCACTATGCAGACAGACGGACAGTCAGATAGGCCCTGGAGGCTGGAGCCGGCCACTCAGTTGGCCGTCTGTCCAACAGGCGGAAATAGCGACGCTATCCTTCACACCTGGACGTAACCACACTAAATGATAAGCAGCCTCTTAAGTAGCCAGGAAAGCTCAAGGCCTTTAATGCTCCCTCTGGCTCACACTTTGCAAGCATTAGCACGTTGTTATCAGCAATGCAATGACGAATAGACATGACATCAGCCTATGAACGGCTTATCCCCAAGTCCAACCTCGTGGACCGGACGGGCCACTCAGCTCCAGACACGGGGCTGGTTCTCTTGTGACACCGCGTCAATCAGAGCTCAGCTTTGGGTCCAGAGTGAGACCCGGGAACGACCTACTGCCAAAGTCATCGTCATGGTTTGGAGGCCACCTGCTGTCTCCAAACTGGTGAGCCGCACTACTATTCATGTTTTATAGACATTTGCTGAATTATCGGTAATAGTCCCTTGTTTTGGAAGCAAATGCTATCGGTAACGTTGCATAGCAATCATGCGTAATTTATGTCAGCATTCAGCAGACTGAAGACCAAAGCAATCGAGAAGTCCGTCACAGTCGCCATCCATGTCTGTTATGGCTCCTCCTGACCTCAAAGCCCAAGACATCGTCGATGTGGGATCATCGACGATAACGACGATCATCAAACTTTGCCACTAGCTTCCTCTCCTCTCGTGACCACGTCATGTCATGCACCACTTCTACACTATCACCGACTGTCATCCGTCAGTCTCCGGCTTTCATACACCACCGCATCACCACTGCCCTACTGGCTTTCTCCTGAGTTGAGTCTCGTTGTTTCCAGTCCATAGCTGGCCTTAGCAGAGCCACGCCGAACACAATATCACTCATTTCCGCTCCCTCTACCCTGCTGTCCGTCGCCGTTGGCTTCCTGTTTCTGAAGCTCCTCCATCTCCTGCACCAGTCGCGCCACCTCGCCACGAATGATGGGCTCGTACTGTTCACCTCGACCCAGCTGACGCATCTCCGCCAGGAACTGACGTCGCTCCTCCACCTCCTGCCAGAGCTCCTCGAAGCGGTCCTCCTGAGGAGGTGTCCTCTCCGGCTCCTCCGACGGCGACATGTCCTCGCCCGGCTGCTGGCGGCCGTGGGTCATCACGTAGGCCAGCCGCTCGCGCTCGGCGTCCCGGTCGCGGCCGGGTCGTGGCCGGTACGCCGGTGGCGAGCCGTGCTCGTTCTCCAGTCGTGTGATGGTGTCTCGGGTCCTTCGGCCGCCTCCATTGTCTGTTTTGCAGACGGATACAGCGACGGGACGGCGACCGCCTCTGGGTCCGCGCCGGGCCGGTGCTGGCAGCGGCTGTCCCGACCGCAGGGACTGCTCAAATAGACGCTGCTGCTGCTTGGGCACTCTGGTCTCCTCCATGAGCAGCTTCACCAGCTGCAGCGTGGAGGCGCTGTAAGACGGCCGGGCCACGTTGAAGATGCCGGCATCAATGGAGCGGGGTGGTGGACCAGCCATCTTGAACGGTGAGAAGATCGCAGCAGGTAGACGGTTCTGTCTGCGCCTCGGTTAACACTTGACGCTTTGCAGATAGCACGAATTCACAGCGATCAGCAGTTTCGATGCAGCAAATTGGTGAAACTTCTTGGCGTCGCTCGTTACAGTTGATACGACCTCATGATCTGGGCCGAGACAGCGATGTCCGACACTCTGGCCATTTCACAACGGGGCACATCACATCGACGAACTCACTTGGCCTCAACTCGTATACGGTGCTGTTGCGCAAAATAAAGGCGTCCTCTTCTTGTTTCAATACCTATACGGAAGGTGGCTCTTGAAGCTTAACAGCCCAGCGCACACTCAGCCCAAATGTGCCATGCACCCATGCACCAACGGGCGTGCGCAAGGCGATAAAGGCGTGCGATCAACTGATCAAACAAACTCGTTTCTATGGAAACGGGCGTTTACCTCCGGCTCCGCTCGATATATGACGTCAGTATGGATGTCACTCCGGCTCAAAGCCAGCTGCTCGAAATAAGTGAAAAGGTGATTTGAAAGTTGCATATTCATTTTACAGTTACCGTGTTTCTTTGTCTGCGATCATATAAAGTTTTAAATGAATGCCATAAGTTCAAAGTTGGAGCCCACTTTATACCTCCATAGTCCATAGGAGTAAAGGTATTTTAGCTTCGCCTGTTCTACCAAGATTGCTTTAAGACACCTAATTGACAGCATGCTGACTGGTTACAGCAGTACCTACGAGGCACTTACACTCCCTTTAACATAACGCTGGTCTCGAAGTTGAGCGTCCGCTCGGCTAATGGGTATTGACGAACACGGTCGTTTTTTCGTACTTTATCTGTACTGAACGTGAGAAACCAAAACCACACAAGAGAAATCAAAACACCGTCTTTTTGTTGCGAGTGACCAAAGTATCGATGTCCCCCCGTATCTCATGCCAGATCGAAGACTGGCGCCGGGCCAATCCTGCAAAACAGGCCCTGGCGACGTGGCGACATTTAATTGCATTAAATGCATTTTGCAAAATGAACGTGACGGCTGCTACTGCAAGTCGCCGTCGGTCGGCGAACTCTCCAGTCCGCACTCCGCCGTGTCACAAGGAGCCGATAATGCAGTATTAATGAGGACACCGCATTAATTAGTTTCCATTTAGGCTGGTGGCGAGGTTCGTGCGGGCTGTGTGATCGGCCGTCTATCAGGGCCAGCCATCGGCCGTCGCTGTCTCTTTGTCCCAGCGTCAGGTCGACACGGACGGCCGCCGTCCCCGTCCCCTGTCGCCTGTCGTGACTAGAGGGAGGGACAAAGCAGGCGTGGCACTTGACACTGGACTCCGGACACTATCGCACTCAGTCGCAGGTCGATTGACGCCTACCCTGATCGAGCGCGCTTTCAGTACCTACTCCTGTTAAATCAAATACACCAAGCGATGCAAATACATATGCTGAGATTCAGACAGACTTACGATAAGCTCAGAGCTTTCCAACGTCAGCGACTCAGCTTCACTGCTAAACTCAACTTGAAGCACAGGTGAAAGATCTCTGCCGAGTGCTGAGCGATGCCGTCGGCATTTGGTATTATATCCTAAGTCCTAACCTTACTGTGGGTTCGTCCGTCTGTGCCGTCCTATTCTCAACAACACGCCACCGCCACGCCGATGGGTCTGCATTTTACGTTAACATTTAGACGGTTACGACCAAGTTACGACTGTCGCTCACGCATGAAGTATGTACAAAAATGAGCCGGACGGGCTGGCTGCTGTCGGTGATAGTCCATCGCCGTCGGTAATTAATGACCTCACTCTACCGGCGGTGACGTTATACATTTTGCGGTGTATGAACGCACCTGATATGGTCGAGTCAGACATCGCGCATAGCCACAACATTATGACAGAGCATGCACTAGATAGCAATGCAGAAGCCTCTGCAAGCCCTGACATCTGCTATGTATAGTCGACTACAGAATGATGTTCCACTCCTCAGAAGCTATCAGTTGACCGGAGCGCTAAATTGTGCCGTTTATCACGCAATTAAGCATGTCGATTGTGAGCATTGGGACTAAGCTATAATTTGTGAACTCAGTCCGTGTGATGCGGCACAGCCTACCACTCCAGGCAAATAATTGCTTGTAAAAAGTGGAACATCATTCTGTAGTCGACTATACGTACTTACGCAGAACAGTACAGCGAGTGTAATTATGTATATTATAGTTTTGTCTTCGATGTAACACTCTAGGGCCTAGCAAGACCTTATCTCCAATTCGATGATGACCCGATAGCTGTGCTTTATTTACTGGCGGGGAGAAGGCGCCGAGGTGTGAGACGGTATTGAGTTACATACAGCATTGTGATGCGATGGGCCCGTCGTGGATACCGAGACTTTCAGGTGTGTGTTTGAGTCACCGTCTCCAGGCTGTGCTCCAGGCTGCGGGGAGGGGGAGGAGATCGTTCCATGTCTCCGTGACGACTCCATTGTTGTACCCGTCCGCTGCAGTGCTGAAGGGGTTGCTCCTCCCCCTCCCGAGTAATTGCCGACCTCCGACGGCCACCGTCTGGTGTCTCGGCTTTTTTACCTAAACTCCGGCGGCAGTCGGGCCGGGGTGCAGGTAATGGCCCCTCCCCCACCGACTCACTGTAGGCCGGCAGCCCTGAAAAGCGCTAGAAATTCCTCCAAACTGACTGTCCGCAATATGAACAAAATATGTATCATTAAATCCCAAATTGATCGAAGAATACGATTCCGATGCCAGTTTTCCTCTAAGGTCAAAATTCAGGTCGTCAGTTGTCACCAAACACAAGACAATTTAGACTCTCTAGTGGCCACTACATTTACCGATTCTAATGATGATCTTTAGTGGTAATTTATTAGTTGGCCAATCGTCGTTTTGAACGAAATTTTCTGTCAGACTAGTTCAGGGCACTGTTGTTCACTGTGCCAGCAACATTCTTACATATTGCATCGCTTTTCTGCAAGATAAGCTAGCTTTTTGCAAGCAGCTGCAAGACCTAAATAAAAATCATATCTAAATTTTTAAATATACTTTTATAAAAACGTTATTTCGAGCGGCTGAAAATGAACATCTTATATTAGCCTCTGATTACTCATCTTTCGTTTCATATAGGTGCTTTGCTGCTTTTCCCTGCTACTTTTCGAGATATGCGCCAGTAAACCACATGATGTAGGGGCAATTGTCACCTCGCCGCTCTACTGACGGCCCGGCGCTCTTTAAAGTGCTGAAATTTATGAAAAACCAATGCTTATAATCGAATAAAATATATGTCCCTGAGCTCAGAATTGATCAACGCACACAATGCTGTCAAAATTTTTGGGCCAAAGTCAATAATTCAGTCAGTACTAACCCCCAAACACAAGTCAGTGACAATCAACAACAAATTGCTCTTTAGTTAGACTTTTTGAGAAATGTTATTTCGAGCCGCTAAAAATGGCCGTGCCATACAAACCACTAATCATCTATCTGTCATGCCATACTCGCAGTTTTTGCCAATGCCTGCTACACTTCGAGGTCACGTGACCTCACCATTAAAAGTAAATGGGGAAATAAGAAAACTGTTGTTTTTGCGCATGGAATGATCTCAAACTATCTCAAGCACACGGTATCGTGATTTCATGCACTCTTTACAAGATCCGATGCTTTACTTGTGCATTTTTGACCTTCCGTGACGTCATTTATGACGTCACTAGGGTCATAGGGGTTTCTCGTCAATAACTCGTAATCAAATTAAGCCAGCGACTCGGGAAAGCCACCAATGGACTCGGGAAGACCTCCCGAATCGAATGATATGCGATACGACCTCCTTCGATAAGTTCGTGGCCTGATGGGCTCTGACCTGACCTTGACTCGAGGTCAACACCTTAAGTTGACCTCACCCGAACAAAAAGCATATCATTCGACGCGCCTGAGCCAGGCGAACACGACGGTGCCAAAATCGCTGCTCTGCGGCCATTTTTTTGCGAAATTATTTGCCAAAAACCAAACCCTACCTCGGACTTTTTGACTTGACCTCAGAGGTTACCAGTTGACCTGGGACCTTAAAATCGGGTATCAATCGTTCCGTCTTACAACGGCGCACACGCTTGTTTTTTCCGCGAGGCTCTAGCTCTATTAGGGGCGAAACGGCGAAAAGGGGTCATACCAACAGGGGTCGTACCCCATCGTCCTGCCGAGGGGGGGGGGGGGTTCCGACAATAGGCCCGGCGAGGGTTAAAGGTAGTGTGCCAGCTTTCTTGGACCGTATGGAGTTAATGGCCCAGATAAGGAGAACCGGATTTTTAGAACTTATCCATACCTTCAAAACTCATGGAAACGTCTTAAATTCTTCAAATTTTGAGTACCCCAGTGCGAAATTCGCCCCGACGGGTTGTCGGTCGTACCCCAACCACATTTCACACCACTATGAACAATAAATGCACACACTGAAATCGCTATTACCGATATGCTCATCCAATCAAGTTTCGATAAACCCGTTCATCATCATCTCCTGCGGTTTCGAACACGTCTGTTAGGTGGCTTCTGATGCTCGTCGAGGTCGGAATTTCCAAATACGCGTGGTGCGTCGGGCCGAGCGCTCTGACTTCGGCCAAGAAAAATGCGTCAGCTGATCATTGTCATTTCTGCCACTTGCGTGTGGTGAAATGGGGTCATAACTTATAAGACGGCTTTTTCATATCAATTATTTTACATAAAATCATATTTCAAACCATAAATAATGTTCGACAGCCAAATAAAAGAAACAATACAATACGGGCTTACAGTTTAACCCGCGAGTTGCTGGGGGGGGGGGGCGTTAAACGCCCCCACTTTTTTCGCCGGGCCATAGCATAAAAACGGCGCGCCGCAGGCGCGCCAAATTTTGGGTACCTGTAGGGAATTGATTGAAGTTTATTGTAACAAACTTTCAAAAAAATCGGTCGGAAAATTTTTGAGATATCGAGGTTTTAGTGACGTCATGATTTCTGAGTTTTCGACCAAAAACGGCATTTGTTCAAAAAATCATATAAAATCACAAAATAGACATACAGACATGCCGTAAACGCCATTAGACTGCCAATACCATGATCAATCAAATGGCTATCTTCGATTATTGATTATCGTTCCGCATTTTCCATAATCTTGAACTGAATCTTGGCAATTTTTCGTGACTACTTCACGACCATGATACATGAATTTCTTAAATTGAACTTTTTGAGCCAAACACGTACACATATGATAAAATGAATGTCACCATCGTGTTCTACGCCCCAAATTACCTGTAAAACATGTGTCACAGGCTGCGAATATCAGTTTTGATTTTCGGGGATATGTGCCTACCCGGTTGACCTGACCTTGACCCTGACCTATGCTTGACTGACCCCTACATGGAGCTGACACTCTTGTAGGCCTTATAAGATGGATTGTGCACCGTTTTGACAGAGTTTATGGCGAGAGGCGCCCATTGCGAAGTCCTGAAGTCCATGCTACTGAAAGCCCGATTTTAGGTGTTTGACCTGACCTTGACCCGACCCGTGACCTCAAAATTCAACTTTAAAGTACTCATCTGAAGCGTCTCGTCGCGCTCTTTCGTTTGCCGCCTAGTGCGTTTCGCTGCGCCTATTGGTTCTCGAGTTATCGGCTGGGGGCGTTTAACGCCCCCCCCCCCCCCCAGCAAACGGTGGGTGGCGAAATACCCCAGCAACTGCCGGGTTAAGGCTCGACATTGTGTTGTCTACGATTAGACAGCTGATAACTCATTCCCGTACGTCGTATGGTCGTAACACTATAATGACCTTTGCTTATTGTCACAAGTGCGCCGCATTCGCGATTGTTGCCCGACGCCTGTTTGCAGGTGAGC